GGTATCGTCAGCAAATAATACTATATCGTGATTGTCCCCTACAAGATAAGGTAAGTCATTAGTATAGATTAAGAATAGGAATGGGCCAAGAATCGAGCCCTGAGGAACGCCCATTGATACTACCGATCCGGAGGAACATTTACCATTGATGACGACTTTTTGAGTTCTGTTACTTAAATATGAAGTAATAAGTCTAAGCGCCAAATTTTTTACACCGTAATGTTGTAGTTTCCTGATTAATGTCTCATGATGAACACAATCGAAAGCCTTGGAAAGGTCACAGAAAATACCTAAGGCATCTTGTAAATTCTCCCAGGCATTAAAAATATATGTCATAAGCTCAACACCGGCGTCAGACGTCGAGCGACCCCTTGTAAAACCAAATTGATTTTTATGAAGTAATTTATTTGTATTAAAAAAAATTAACAATTGATCCAAAATTATTTTTTCAAAAATTTTACTGAGACTTGGTAGTACAGAAATAGGTCTATAATTAGCGGGGTCCAATGTACTACCAGATTTAAATAAAGGTATTACTTTTCTATACTTCATTAAATCAGGTAACACACCAGCATCGATACAAGTATTAAAAATAATAGCAAAATGAGTTGCAATTAAATCTATTATGGACGCAATCACTGTCACGGAAATCCTCCATAAATCTGCGGTTTTCTTTACATTAATGGTTTTGAAGTATTTTACAATATTATGCGGTAATACTTTTTCAAATCTAAATTCTTTTAAACAGGTATTAACATTCTGTTTAAGTAATGACTCGGCGATAGTTGGAGAAGTATTCAATGACTCTGTTGTCAAGATAGGAACATCAGTGAAATATTTCTCAAACACCGCTGTAACTTCTTGATTTGATTTAGTCAATTCATTATTAATTTTTTAATAGATAGTTTGAGTTACGAGGTTGCTCTTTACCGGTTTCGCTGTTAATTATACTCCAGGTCATTTAGGATATTATAGGATTTGAACAAAGAACAAAATTTAATACTGATGGAAGTAGTTTCCATGAGATTACCTTAAGTTAAGTTTATTATACACAATGTATAATATTCATATATATATTTAATTTACTACACACTGCATACTTATTTATTATCACTTATATTAGTATTTTATATTATCAAGTCCCGTACGTGGAAGGCACTCTCGTAGAACCGGTTCCCCGGTCGGTCGACCGGCCGCGGTGCATAGTTTATGAGAAGACTCGCCAGTTAGCAACGAGACCTTTGTACGCGCATGTCGCTCCTTGCTCCGTCGTTCGATTGTTAACATACAAATTTGATCCGTAAATATAAGTAGTGAAAGACTGTTACCCCATAAGTTAATTTTATTATTGAACTATTAATATTATAATATCGTTATCAATTTACTATCATTCTCTTCTCCTTCTTATCTTAATAATTGTGTGTGTGTATCTATTGTAATAAATTAAATTATTCGGAATCTGTGAACATTATTTAAATTACGTAGTAGTTATACATTACAACATATACAACATTACATCTTACATTACCACACTGGTGACCCCTAAGGAACACTAAAATGAGTGATAGCAGTGATTCGGTAAAAACCGCAGGATCAACAGCAAAGACTTGATAAAGTGACCGTGCGGCGTACTCAACGTGTGCGCGTCCCTACAGAAGACGAACGTGAAAAATGGCGGACGCACGTAAAATTAACATAAAGGTACCTCCATTTTCTGTAGACGACCCGGAAATTTGGTTTGCATTATTAAAAAGCCAATTTGAGAACGTTAATGTAAGTGACGACGCTACAAAATTTACTAATGTAGTAATAAATTTAGATATTATATACGCTAAAGCGATGAAAGATATCATCATAAATCCTCCGGCGTATAACCGCTTCAACATGATAAAGACAGAGCTAATCAGGCGTCTATCCGCGTCTCACGAGAAGGTAAAGCAGTTACTTACGCACGAAGAGCTCCAGGATCGGAAACCGTCACAGTTTGTTCGGCATCTGATGGACCTAGCGGGACCTTCCGTGCCGGAAGAATTTATTAGAACTATTTGGAGTAATCGTCTCCCACACAATATTCAGACGGTACTAGTATCCCAACCGACCCATTCCCTGGAGCAATTGGCTGACCTTGCAGACCGCATACAGGAAATCACAATATCCTGTAACGTAGCCGTCGCGTCTTCTAGCGCTGCAGTGGCTCAACCTGCCAATGAAATCGCTGAGCTGAAGAAGATGGTGGAGCGTCTCGCGCTAAAGCTAGATGAGCACACGGGCTCTAACCGAAGGTGCAGCAACAGATCCAGACCACAACGACGTCGATCGATCTCACGTCAACGTACACGGTCTAACTCCAACTATACCGGCGGGAAACTACGCGGGCAATCGCTAATGGCGACGGACGACTGCCCAGCTTCGATGAGTCGCCTTTTCGTCAAGGACCACGTGACGAAGACAGAGTTCCTGGTGGACAACGGCAGCGACCTCTGTGTGTTCCCCTACGACGCACTAAAGGAGCGACGACAGAAGGCGAACTACCAGCTTTCAGCAGCGAATGGAAGTATAATTAATACGTATGGTTATATTAATCTTAAACTTAATTTAGGTTTACGTAAAGATTTTCCATGACAGTTTATAGTAGCTGATGTCACAAAAGCGATCATAGGTGTTGATTTTCTTTCACATTATAATCTTGTTGTAGATGTTCGCAACAAACGCCTAATAGATAATACTACTTCTTTGTCTGTAAATTCAATTGCTAATGTTGTTTGTAACGCTTATTCTGTCAAGGTGCTGACTGGCGATTCTAAGTACCACGCGATCCTAAATAAGTATCCGGAAATCAAAAGACCTTCAGGTACACCGCTCACGCCAACATATCACACTAAGCACCACATCCGCACCACACCAGGACCACCTATCTCTTGTTCACCTCGTAGGCTGGCACCCGATAAGTTGCTGATTGCCAAGCGAGAGTTTGACATCATGTTAAGCAATGGCACAGCACGCCCATCGGAAAGTCCGTGGTCGTCACCCCTTCATTTGGTGCCAAAAAAGGATAACGGGTGGCGTCCATGCGGTGATTACCGACGACTTAACGCACGGACCATACCGGACAGGTATCCCATCCATCATATCCATGACTTTGCCCACGCTATTTCTGGTTGCAAGATCTTTTCAACTATCGACCTTGTAAAAGCCTACAATCAGATTCCCGTTTTTTGATGAGGACGTTGCAAAAACAGCAATAACTACACCCTTTGGCCTGTATGAGTTCTCATTCATTGGCTTCGGTTTGCGCAACTCTGGGCAAACTTTCCAACGGTTTGTTGATGAGATGACCAGAGGCCTCGACTTCTGCTACTGTTTTCTCGACGATTTCCTTGTCTTTTTTTTATAGGATCGGGTGACAATCGAGCACACAGTCCACCTGATGGTAAGTGGTTACTGTGACCCATAGACATCTACATCTATCCTGAATAAAGACTCAAGATGCAGATGCGTTGTCACCCGTGAGGACTAAGATGGAATGCCCCTTTGCCAGTAAAAAGGGACTCCGGTTCTCTACACTCACCATACGAAACACAGCAGCGTTTAGCTGCTATTTTACGCTGGTTGTCTGTGAGAGCGTGGTCCTTCCCGGTCAAGCCGACCCATTCGTGCTACAACCATAATATAGCTGCAGCATGGCTCTACCACGTAGAACTGTCTTTTCGAAAACAGAAGCAGAACATCGAGACCACCTTCACCAGCTCTTTAACCGAATGAAGGAATACGGTATCCTCATAAACTCGTCAAAATGTGTCTTCGGACCTAGCGAGGTGTCATTCTTAGGACACCATATCTCAGAAGCCGGTTCTAAGCATTTGAACTCAAAAGTCGAGGCCATACAAAATTTTCCACCTCCGAAAACCATACGCCAGCTAAGGAGATTCATGGGCATGGTTAATTTTTACAGGCGCTTTCTACCAAATGCGGCTAGGATTCAGCTGCCGCTGAATGCTTTACTTTCCGGTTTGGTCAAGGCGTCTCAACCGATCGATCTCACCGGGGAAGCATTAGCTTCCTTCAATGAGTGCAAGAACAGCCTTTCCCAAGCTGCACTACTCGCACACCCTGACTGCAACGCCAAACTTGCTCTGGTAACAGATGCATCAGATTTGGCTATGGGTGCAGTTTTGCAGCAGTTTAAGGATGGCTTTTGGCAACCTCTTGCTTTCTTTTCGCGCAAGCTAAGTCCTACCCAAATGAAGTACTCACCATATGACCGTGAGCTTTTGGCGATATATGAAAGTATAAAGTACTTTCGGCACATGCTAGAGGCCAGGCACTTAGTAGCATATACTGACCATAAGCCGCTCAGTTACGCTTTTCATGATAGGAAAGTCAACTGTTCGCTTCATCAGTACCGCTACCTCGATTACATCTCGCAGTTCACGACCGACATCCGCCACATTTCGGGCAAGGATAATGTCGTGGCTGACACCTTATCTCGAATCGAGGAACTGCAGATGCCAATCGATCTAGATCTACTTGCCAAATCCCAAGCCTCTGATGCGGAATAACTGGTATCTTGAGCAGTGAATCATCACTTTCACTGCATATAGAACAGTTTAAGCTTCCGAACTGTAGCTCGGAACTATATTGTGACGTGAGCACACCGTCACCTAGACCATTTGTGACAAAGCCCTTCCGTAAACAACTCTTCGATAGTCTTCATAACCTCAGCCACCCAGGCGTCAGCGCGTCAACCAAACTTGTAGCGGAGCGATTCGTTTGGCCTGGGATGCGTAAAAGACTGTCGAGAGTGGTCACGGAACTGTCTGGCGTATCAACGTGCAAAGGTGCATCGCCATCTGTCATCACCCTTCGGCACGTTCGATCTACCAAAGGCACGTTTTTCTTTTATCCATGTGGACATAATAGGCCCTCTGCCCCCATCACAGGGAAATCGATACTGCCTCACCATCGTGGACCGTTTCACACGCTGGCCCGAAGTCTCGCCAATGGTCTATATGACAGCTGAGACCGTTGGAAAGGCTCTGATATCGTGGATATCCAGATTTGGATGTCCAACAGATATCGTAAATGATCGCGGCCGACAGTTTGAATGCACCATTTTTCATTATTTAGGAAAAATGATTGGATTCAAACATCGAAAAACTACCGCGTATCACCCAGCGTGTAACGGTATGGTGGAACGGTTTCACCGGCAGCTAAAGGCTGCAATAATGTGTCACGCAGATAGCAACTGGGTAGACACATTACCTTTAGTCCTGTGGGGTATTAGGTCCTCTTATAAAGAAGAGTTCAAAGCTTCATCGGCAGAGTTGGTATACGGAGAGCCCTTACGTCTTCCAGGGCAATTTTTCCAACCGGTTGCTCTGGATAACACCGAAGTATCAGATTTTACCACTCGCCTTCGACAGCTCACCCAGAAGCTATCACCGACACCTGCCACACGTCACAGTATAAACAACATCTTTATACATAAAGATTTAAAAACTTCAACGCACGTATTTTTGCGAGAGGATGCCTTAAGAGGTACATTGCAACCTCCATATTCTGGCCCTTACGAAGTGGTCGAACACGGGGATAAAACATTTAAAATATGGGTAAAAGGGAAAGCTGTAACAGTATCGGTAGACCGTCTTAAACCAGCCTATATACTGACAGACCCCTCACCTAATTCCATCCCTACTTTTTATCCTCAACCTTTCCCTAAAGGGACAACTGTCCCTAAACCGTCAGAATTAACCGATCCAGCACCAACACCTGTCAAGGAAAACGTAAAACGTACGCGCTTGGGGCGCTTTGTACGTTTCCCTGATTTTTATCGCCCGTAGTGACGGTCTCCGGGGGGGAGTGATGTGTTGTATCTATTTATTTACACACACATTATAAATATCTATTTACATATGTATATAAATAACTCATTATACAGTTAAGTTTATCATACACAATCTATAGTATTCATATATATATATTTAATTTACTACACACTGCATACTTATTTATTATTACTTATATTAGTATTTTATATTATCAAGTCCCGTACGTGGAAGGCACTCTCGTAGAACCGGTTCCCCGGTCGGTCGACCGGCCGCGGTGCATAGTTTATGAGAAGACGCGCATGTCGCTCCTTGCTCCGTCGCTCGATTGTTAACATACAAATTTGATCCGTAAATATAAGTGGTGAAAGACTGTTATCCCATAAGTTAATTTTATTATTGAACTATTAATATTATAATATCGTTATCAATTTACTATCATTCTCTTCTCCTTCTTACTTTAATAATTGTGTGTGTGTATCTATTGTAATAAACTAAACTATTCGGAATCTGTGAACATTATTTAAATTACTTAGTAGTTATACGAACATTACATCTTACATTACCACAAGCCTTTGCCCGCGACTTCTTCCGCGTGGAGTTCGATATATCGCGCCCATGTGTGAAAAAGAGTCTGCCGGTACAAGCCACAATTATAACTGGATGTCGCGGGCAAAAGCTAGTTACAAAACTTCTTTATACACGACATTTTTTGCTAATCTATTACTGTGTGCCAAAATTATCAGACTACTGGGCGAGCTTATGCGTGAGCAAGCCACATAGAATTGCCCGTAAGAAAAACAATTTTCTCTGAAGTCTATAAACGCAAATTTTAATGTCTGCACTTGTGATTTGTTTATGGTCATTGCAAAGCAGACTTTGAGGGGAAACTGTATTCGTTTGAATTCAAAGGGAAGATCATTCGGAATCAAGGAAATTCTTGGCACAAATACAGTTTCAACAACACGTCGCGTCAGAGTCAAAAATACGCCTCGTTGACACGCGAATTAATCTAACTAGCCAACCAAAACACAAAAGGGGCACTAAACGCGACAACACAATTATAATGATATCTTGACAATTAACCGGGAGAAGCTCTTAAACAAGGAATGCGCGGCTCGAATCCTAGACCGTATATCTACTAGACGCGCGTACACTATTCCGCACTCTCGCCCGAGTAAATATCGCACAATTCACATATCTACGTGACGAAGAAGCACTTACTTCATCTAGCTATCTAGATCCACGACCGGCCGTGAATTTTGAGCCTGACGGTCTCCACGCCTCGTGGCTGGCAGGGCACCGACGTTTTGCCCACGCGTCGAGCTACCGACTGCCCACGCGTCGAGCGACAGACTCCCACGTGGCGAAGCGACTGACTCCCCACCTCGGCGCTTATCTCACCTACATACCATCGGGTGAGGCGCCAGCTCGAACGCAATTGGGTGACGTTCAAACATGACCAAATTTGGGCATAAACAAACCCCCGTCCCGGACATAAGGACTTATGTCTGCGAGCAAACCAACAAGCGGGACAGGGTCGCGACGGCACGTTGCAAGACCGAATCTACACCAAACTAGGCCACCTTAGGCACCCCATCAGATCTTGCAACCCTAGCCACCGCCTCAAAAGATAGCCCCAATATGGCAAGCCGGAGCGTCAGCCTCCACTGGATGCCCCTCCTGGGCATCGCAGCACTTTAACAAGTCCTGTACTGGACAGAAGTCCGACGACCTCTTTCAAACACCTATCTGTGCCCCTATGATTAGTTCCGCAATCCGACCGGATCAGCTCTGCAAACAGCGACGCTACACGAAGCAGCCCAGAGTGGCCCCCTAAGCTTCAGTGCAGAGCGCACCCACAAATTCCACATGAACGTCGTCTGTGGAGAGCCGAACGAAACGCACAGATAGTCCCTGGTATGAATTTTCAACAAGTAGGCATAACCAAGCCATCCACCATATAATCATTTACTCAAATAGTACGGCAGCTGATTTCAATCTGATAATCTCCAAACTAGCTAGCCTTTTAGACAAGTAGTCCTATGCTCATATTTCAACTAATTTTAAAAAGCATCAATGTTCAACTACAGAATTAATTCAAACAAATTTATCACCGATGCACATAGGTCACACTGACAAATTAAACAAAACGATAAACGTAAGAGACAGCCCTATTTATCATTTCAAATAAATATCTTAGACAGTGCCTAAAAATGCGAAAACCAAAGGAGGAATGACTCTTTATTTCTTTCGGCACAAATAAGGTTATCCAATCTCAGCTTTCTTTTCAACAAACCACCATGACAAAACACATCCACAAAACATATATGCAAATATCCAAATAACGCGTCATTCAATTTCAAATGAATTCAAATTTTCCTTTCAGCATAACAGACGCAATAATCAAATACATTACAAAACATATGCACAAGCATTCAAAAAGGACACATAATTCAATTTCAATTCTCCGGGCAACAAGACAAAGACAGTGATCAAATACATTTACAGAACATATGCAAAAGCATTTAAAGGGCACACAATTCAATTTCCACCCTCCTTGCAACAAAACAAACACAGTAGTCAAATACATTTACAAAAAAATATGCACACGTATTCAAGGAGTACATCAAATTCAACCCTTTTAATTACAACCGCCATAATATGAAACATTTCGCGGAAGGCACAAACCATTTTTAATTCTAATTCAAAGCATCGTTAATTAAGTCCTCGACCAAAACCAAATCTAACAATCCCTAACAGTGCAATTCAACGCTCCCATGGAGCCCTAGTCTTCTCAACAACTAAGCAGAGGCTAACCCGGGTGTGAACCCGGAACAAATAAAGCGCGTACCGTCAAACACTCGACGCTCGGACGGTACTCCCTCACTGAGGCCGTCGACCAGAGAACAGATTGACATGTGAGCTGTTGGCGGCTCACCGAATTAGTGGAGACGGCCGTGGTGGGAGCCAGGGCGGCAGCTACCTAGCTGGGCTGCCTACATCGAAGGGGGAACGGTAGTACCTCGAGCCGCCGCCACTCAGCTGACGAGGGCGAGAAGGGTCTAGCTGACCGCTGAGTGGCAGTGAAGTCTCTCTCAACATACTGAGTGAGGGGGGTGACGACCCCCCGCCCCTGAGGGAACAACCACCCGATAGAGGGCGCGGCTGAGTGCCCCCGCCAGTGCGAGTCGAGGGCCCGGAGAGCCCTGAAAGGAAACGCCGTTCACACCCAGACACAAAACGGCATGGCGATAGCCTTAGCCGCGCGATGGCATTACTTCTAAATACAAATTACTACGCGGCTCAAATTCAAATTACAAATTAACAAATACAAAAAGAATTAACGAGTAACAAAATACCGTTCCTATCAAATCAAGTTAAATACAATTACACAAATACAAATTACCATTTATTAGATTTATATTATTACCATTTATTAGATTAAATACGAACCACAATACAACAAAGACACACATCCCGTTCGATCTACAAAAAATGCCTCGCTCAGACAACCGACCCTGTGATAAGTAATCAACCATAATTATACGACAACGATAATTATCCGATTACGTGATAATAACTATCTACCTACCCAACGCATCTCTCTAGCGAACTCCCGCTTGCGCAACCTAGGGCGTGGCAATCACAACACTCACCAAAAACAAAAAAGCAACAAAGCAACAAAAGAAAAGAATTTTATCTTTACGTATTACGGCCGGGCGTGATTGTAGACCCAAAATTAAACCAATCAAACCAACGCTCCCTGCCACCAAAATTGTTTAACTTTTATCAAACACTACGGTTGGGATCGACCGGGAATCGAACCCGGAACCACGCTCTGCTACCACTTTGTTACGGTCTACGGCTGCTCCTCCAAAGCTTCAATCATCCGGGGCTCATCAGCGGAGACTTCACGAGCAGACACAGGTCGGGCCTCAATATGGCCGCGTGGGATATGTTCTATCACAATAAACTACGAGTGGGAGGAAGCTAGAAACACATAGTACTTACCATTATCCGAAGCTAACTTCGCACCAAGGCTTGGGCAGGCCGTGAGTGTGAGTAATAGTGGATGGCGAGTAGTGTACAGTGAGGTGTAAATGTCTGCGACCTGAGCAAGCTTAGGCGACCAGCAGCGGCCGAGTTCCAGGCTGCCCCAAAATGCTACATCGCTCCAGCCGGCTCGATCGCTGGACCATTTCTTTCTTCATTATCACTAATTCAGTCTCTTAGTTTCATTGTACATTTAACTAACTTAAATTCACCTAATTCCACATTCATCGTAGGATCGAACACGTGATACCCGATAGATTCAGCGTTAAACACAACTAAGTTCCTTCATTCGACACCAGAACAACACGTCGCGCCAGAGTCAAAAATACGCCTCGTTGACACGCGAATTAATCTAACTAGCCAACCAAAACACAAAAGGGGCACTAAACGTGACGACACAATTATAATGATATCTTGACAATTAACCGGGAGAAGCTCTCAAACAAGGAATGCGCGGCTCGAATCCTAGACCGTATATCTACTAGACGCGCGTACACTATTCCGCACTCTCGCCCGAGTTAAATATCGCACAATTCACATATCTACGTGGCGAAGAAGCACGTACTTCATCTAGCTATCTAGATCCACGACGGGCCGTGAATTTTGAGCCTGACGGTCTCCACGCCTCGTGGCTGGTAGGGCACCGACGTTTTGCCTACGCGTCGAGCTACCGACTGCCCACGCGTCGAGCGGCAGACTCCCACGTGGCGAGCGACTGACTCCCCACCTCGGCGCTTATCTCACCTATATACCATCGGGTGAGGCGCCAGCTCGAACGCAATTGGGTGACTTTCAAACATGACCAAATTTGGGCATAAACAAACGTGTACACCATTTCTTCCCCCTCAAAAGACGTGAACAGTATATCGTTAATTGCCGCTGCTTGGTCGTTTTTCGGGGTTAGTATGGCACGTTCATGAGGAGTAGGCTTCCTGGTCAAAAAGTCAAACGATATCCAA